GGACCAGATTGTTAGCTTCTCATACGAGTGGTCGCCCTGTTCGACACGGCTCCGTCCTGCCATCACCAAAAACCTTTGCGACGCCACACAGTTTCGCTCCTTTGCATGCTTTCTGACATTTCTGCTTTTCGTCGGTGGTGTGGCAGTATCCTTGGATCCCTTACCTTCGTCACAAACGCTTATGTGAGTAGTAAGGGTCTATAGGCGTAATTATATAATTTTAGTTATAATGTTACTGACTTCTTTACTGCATCTCGGAGCTATTGGGCACAGCACCTTCACTTCGCCGTCAATATTTCTTCACGTAAATATTCAGAAGCATCATAGCGATAGCCGCCAACAATGTTGTCGGCGCTAAATAGATCTAACCGCTACGAGTGGTTTTTCGCTCGTCTATACCAACAACAATAATAATTTGTATGTTGACACCAATCGACAACAAAACGATGATCATTTTCGCTAAAAATTAAATCAACGAAATAAAACCGCGTCCGTTTGTCTGCCGTTGAGAATTATCTATCACTAGTGAACTTTTCCATTGTACAGCCATAATAAAATAGTACGACAATGTTGGGCGGTACAGATAGATGAAAGGTGGTTGTCATCATGATCAAGTCATGCGTCAAACGTATAATACGCGCTTCGCAGATGTCCCACGAGCAGCAGCCGGATAGCCAAAATTGTACTGGTTTCTTAACAATAATGGCTAAACACACTTGTTGTTATCTTTTAGTATCTAATATACCGGACCTGGCCTCCATCATTTACTTCGATGTGCTAAAGTTAAACGAGTTCCACTTCACAGCGTTGTAGTCGATACTAATTAAAAGCCTTTGTACTGAAGCTGGGATTAAAAAGAAAGTACGTGAAGCCGGAAGAAAGCGATTGACTTCAATTAACTGTTGTTATCCACAAACAAACTTTTAGGATCGGTATAGCATATATACATACGGGATCTAAGAGGACTTTGTAGAATCAAAAACAGATATAGTACACACACACACTGTAACAGGATAATGGCATTCCGCATGAGAAGGCATCCCCTAACGACTTAATGCTGATGGCTATGCCCGAGGTTGGTCACGTGTCGCAGCGGGAAGCAGGCCAACAAAGCTTTGGACGGAATTTCCCAACAATTTTGTCTGTAGCGGAGCAGATTTTTCCTGACCTCGTTGCCCACTGTCTCCGTGGCGCAACAGTCATTTGCAATGATTATTGTTCGTTCTTCGGCCACAAAGCTTTACCGTGTACCCAGCGACAGATATCATACGTTACAAAGGCAAGCAGAAATGTGAGAGAACTAGATGAGTTTCAAGGCGGACACGTTGGGTCGGCGCAAACAAAATATGTACGAGATAATCGTTTACGAGTTCTAAATAATTCAGCTCTTTGACCTCTTCAGTGAAATGTAATCTTCGGAGATACTCAGAGAAGTTTGCAGAAAACAATAAATATCTCGCTGAATGAGTCAAGGGCGAAACTCTTGTACGTAAGCTTTGAGCGATACTTTATCAAGTCACCGTTGATCCATTTCTCTGCAGCAAATTGTACGCTTCTATCGTTTGTATCGTAGGTTCATTGAGCAGCCACTACTCTGCTACTACAATTAAGTGTACCCATATAACTCATCCAGAATAGCTAGTGAGGCGGGAAAATTACAGGGTGGGAGCCACGATCTATCAGATCCCGTGTCAACGTTTGATAGCAAACGTGCATTGCGTAGAGGGCATTTTGCTCTGAGGGCAAGTCAGTATAACATCTGCAAGGTAGAGATCGTATCAGTTATTCGTCCGCAACCAATGGACTTCCCCGAAAATCGAATGAGAGATGCCACCTTCATACTGTGGATGCCGTAAGTTCGTGCTAGAGATGAAGTGGTGCTTTACTTCTATTAGGACGATGCAGGCGTCGGTGGCTAACTCCGCCATATAGTCACCCCCCTCGCCTTCGATTAGATAAAATTGTAGCCACCAAGCTTGACAAATGATGCCATCCGGCACATGTACATAAACATTCGCATCGCTCTGGCTATACATGAAAAATATTAGCACGAGTATATATGTACATATACACATACGCATGTTTAGCACCTTCACGCACATTTGAGTAGCCGTACATTTTACTTAAAAACAATAATCGCAGGCCAAAGCCTTCGGACCACTATCATGCCTATTACATCCAAATCGAATGCTTGAATTGTCGTAAATATGGCGTGTATAGCGTTACAATGTTCAATGGCACACAACTGACAAGATGTCGAAATATTTTTCGGGTCTATACGTAATTTTGCGTAACGTTTCAACAATATTGTAACATTACTCAGGCTATAGTCAAACTATGTTGTAATCTATGCTTGACGCCAAAAAAAAATAAAAAACAGGAGAAATCGAAACCGATAAACACACTGAAAGATTCTGTTTTATCAGCCTCTCACCTTACAGTCGACACGCTTTGGAGCGGCATTAAAAGAAATGGCGAATAATGAGATCAGGATCAAGAGTCACCCGTTAACGGAGCCGATATATCTAACAGTAGTACTCTGTAACTATAATCTAATCAAATTGTTGATGAGAAATAGATAAAGTACGTGACCAAAATACAACGCTCAGCTGCAGAGGCCTGACGCTATTCTGTATATGGCGCGCGTTCTTTTATGAATCCTGCTACGTTACGATCCAGCAGCAGTATACAGAGCGATTTATTTATGCTTTCTCATATCAACGGGACCGTAACGATAGTCAGGGTCGTGTTTTGTAAGGCTTTGCTTGTTCAACGTCGTCTGTTCAGCTGTCTTAAGGTTGCAGCAATATACCTTGCTGAATGTTATTTCAATACCGACGCTTTTACTTACTCATTACTTAATAATTCTCATGACACAGTGTACCTGATATTCCATACCCCTATTGTTTACAATTATGTGCAAGAGTTTTCCTTCATTATCGAAAATAATCCCGGAACTAGTATCAACTGTAAAGTAGGCTTATGAGAGGGGTACCGTTCAGATATCTCGGTACAAGCTTCACTGAAAGTGTGTGCTTCGTGTGAAGTTGGTAACAGTGGCCACTTTTTTTTTTTAATTTAAACATTTTTTTAAAGCTCGCAGCTTTTTCTTATTTTATCCTTTGCATTACACCCGGTGCTTACGAAAATGTTTAATAGTTAGATAATATAGAGATTTAGCCAATATAGAATTAGAAGCCAAACGGTGCTTCGACTAACATTGGATAAAGTAAAATGTAGGTTAATTAGAATTGAGGACCACTTGGCGACTCTTAGGGCTAGGCTTTTTCAGAGCGCTGCTTTTCCCAGAACTGGGTCAGTCATTTGTCCGGTTCTCCCAGAACATTAGTTTATTTCATTGCTACTCTATAGCATTTGATCCCCTCGAAGAAAAATAGGAAATCATTGTGAGCTTTAGTTTACTGCATATACTATATAGCTATTATCCAATTAGTCCTAAAAACTGTGTTTAATATAGCAACTGCTGGCTCTTACGCCGAAGCGTGTCTCCCAGCGTGAGAAACTCCAGGGGTCATTGATTCTTGCCACATCCTCCGCGTTTCTAGCCGAGACCCGCCCATAGCAGTTTCGAAACCTCGCTTTAGTAGTAACAATGCTTGCCAAAACAAGAAAACTCGACGATTTGCTTGGAATTGTTCACCATTACAGAGCAACGATTAGGGCTCTGAGTTCCGTTGAGCAGCAGCTATTTCTAGGAGCGTTTGTCTCCAGCTCAAGCAGCGTCGTTGGGTGCCCCTTGATCGGCTCGCGGCGATGGTATCAGCATATCGTATATAAAGTTCAATATAAAAAATACTTGCCTGTGGACGATGTATTTGTTTAAAGTTGTTTAATGCTGGACTTTTCTGCGAAACTAGGTTAAATTTGCACTCATTCACATCCAGTCGTACACCGGTAACAGCAGCACTAGTTCACAGCAGCACACGGTCAAAATAACTGGCGGCGCTGGAGGCGCTTCGGAGAGTATCTACAACAGGACAAACACACACTGATGCGGTGGCTTCAAGCAGCAGCAGCAGCAAGAAAAGACACAAACCAGTCTGGAGACCGACACCGGCGGCGGAAGGCCGCTCAGACAGACATACGCACAACAAAGCGACAACAACATCGCTGGGGGTGCCTGGGGGACTCTCACCCCAAGGCCTAACCGCGCCCTCACCCATTGTCGTCTGGTGGGGTGGTTGATCCTCTCAGCGGTTCAGCAGAGGCCACCTCGTGTGGAGCCTAGCTAAGGAGATGAACAGTTTCAGCAAACACATCGTCCTCGTACAGTTACGGCGCTGTACGTCGTCTGCTAAGGAATGGGGTGATGGGGGCGTTGGCCCTTTCTCAACGCGCCTGTCGAGGGAGAGAGCGTTCCGAGATGAAAACCGCCGAGAAGAAAAAAAACCGCGGAAAAGTTTTTTGATTCGTATCAATAGAATTGAAAAATAGTTGAACACTGGGGATGAAGTAATTCAGATTCTTGTAGGGACATGCGGAGCATTAGGATAAATGAACGGAGAAAACGGACAACATTGGGTGTATCTGTCAATGGACGCCATAGGGTCATTCTGATGGGTTGATTCATCTAATGTTCTCGTTGCCATGGCGCCTCGGTTCATGAGTCGAACATGTTCTCATTGTCATGGCGCCGCAGTTCATGGGTCGAACTTGTCCAGTTGTAGGATCTGGGCTGAAGGTATTGACGAAAAGAAATGCTCAAACGGAAACAGCCAAATTATTTCAAATATCCAGATGAATTATTCGAACCTGACATTCGCATCACTATCGAACTAAATAGACTCTACTAGCTACTTATGACAATCAAGCCACAATCAGTTGGCAACCCGCTCTCTTAGCGGCCCGAATATTATCATCGGCTTCAACACACATGTAAACATTAGGCAAGTCTATACGTATCTACGCACTCGATAAGGTAATGGAAAAGGGGCTAGGAAGACACCGCTGGGTCTGTTTTAGCGTTCTAATAATTTATTTCACAGAAGACCTAGATCAAGTTTTATAGGTATTACTTACCAAATATATGATAAGCCCATCTACGTTCGTTCTTCATAGCTTTAATTGACATGGAAAAAACCTCTAAGCATGATCTACTACTTAACGGAGTGAACAAAGTCGCACGATAATGTATCTACTTAGAAGTTTATGCAGTTTACACGTATCATATTTGTATGAACACACTAGCACTTCTTTTTGGCTTGCGAGCGTCCTAGCTAGCTCCCTATTTCGGCGACCATTTGTCACAGTGGCGTATCATATTTATGCATTACATAAGCGATACACGGCGGCATAAATTCAAACTTTTCTATTTTAAACATTAATTCAATATCATCGGCGTCTAATTTATGGCATCGATAAGTTTCCTTAATAAATGTTCAGCTAGTTTTGCTATACTAGTTTACACAATTTTACATTAAACTGTTAATGCAATGTGAGACATTTTACCAAAGGGCAAGGGTATCGACAGTGACGCTAACTTGGTAACGCTTGATAAAGCACTAGAATTAATGAAAGGCCACGTCAATAAACTGCGTCAGCGTAGACTATTTTTTCGTCAATCTTGGAAAATCTTTCGCTGGCACAAGGCTTCTCACTTGACTCGTCCTCAGAAACGTCTGATCCGATCGGAGTTGTGCACGTTTTAACATACGGTCGTACGTTGTCCACAAATAGACCTTGCACATTTCCACGAGGTGTGTAAAGGGCGACAACAATTACCTACGATCATAGCACTTATCATTGAACTCAACATGCTATAAAAGAACTCACGAAAGCTGCAGTGATACCTTAGCCAGTGGGCCCTTTAACCGGACGCCGGCTAAGGCGATCACTAGTCCGAGATCCCTACATACGTTGTACAAATGTATATAATATATCGCTATTTAGTATCTTATATGATGACGGACGCATCGTTAGAGAAAATAACGGACACACCGTAGCTTAAGTCACTATCCTATTAACCTACTGCAGCAATAGCGTCCCTTACCTTTGCTTCGTTGTGCAAAGAATGAGCTTTTCCAATTCCCAGATCCGTAGAGTCCCTCCAAACGAGCTGCGAAAATGCGGCTCCCTGCGTGTGTAGTACTTCCGGATGAAGCGAGTAATCATAACGCATCGCTCCCCCGTGGTACCAATGCTTAACAACTTCCTTTGCTTGTTTACATAACAGAAACGCGTTTGTAAGTACATACGCACGTAGTAAACATTTAGAGCAAGCTATAGAAATTCCTAATGGCACCGAAGTAATAATACACTTAAAGTACACTTATATGAACGTAAGAGATATAGATATGATCCTCTCAGGTAACCGTCCTGCGAGACACGGCACCTATTGTTAAGTCATTGATAAAATAGAACAGCTACGTATGTCATTGATATTTGTTAGCCATTCCTTAGGCTGTTCCTAAGGGGATCGTCAAGTTGAAACGCTTGTATTATATGCACTCATTATGTGACGATGGGCTCTAAGGCGTCTAGCAACGAAGTTTTTGTGACCCCGTTGTTCTCCTCCACCGCAGACAAATAAATGACCCGGCCATATCTCAAATAAAAAAGCAACCCTTTGCTTTTCTATTACTTTGTTATCAAAACATTGGGAAGCAAAGCCTCGCAAGAGGCCTCTACTTCTTCTCTCAAATTAGCTGGATAAGAATATTTTCGCTATTCTATTAGTGAGGATTTAGAAGTTTGAACGGAGGAAACGAGCCTTTAGCGAGGATATTTATTCCTTTCAGTAACGAAACGTGGGCGTTCAAAATGGTAAGTTTTTGCGCATTAAATTACACACAGCGAATATATTTGTCATAGCTTTTTTTTTTTTAATTAAAAGCTGTGTAATCAGGTAAGCGAAGTACGATGTAAAACATGGCGTGATACAATATGCCGCAACTTCGAATCCAATATACACACCCGTCACATCCATGCGTGAATCCACGAGAAGGAGTGGTTGATATTTGACGTAAAGGCTCTGCCCAAAGCCACGTTCGTGGAGTTTCGCCGACGGACTTTTCGAATCCTCGGAGTTACAACTGCCATTTGGCCATTTTAACGATTCATGAAAACTAATACGATCTGTATGGGCGATTTCGTTAGCTAGCCTTTGAGCTTCATGGCACAACGGAAAACTGAGACGTAAAGCGGCCGCTTGATGACGCGACCGGAAGATATTGTGCCAAACAAGACACTTCAAGATAAACTCATCTTCCAGATATGACGGAAGTTGCTGTTCGGTCCGACCCGACACTTTAACCGCTGATGATAAGAATACCTGCCCGAGAACGAACATATAAAGCGTGTCAGAATATGTGTGCATAAAAGTAAACAGTGATCAAGCTTATTAGACGAGGGCCATTTCGATGGAGCCGGTTTGGATCCTACGCAGCAAAAATAGGTATTGTGTACCGGGGAAACCTGTTGATTTTGACTTGCACCCATATAAAGCATTACATTGACTTTTTTCCTATAGAGCTATTCCTGAGGGCCATGGATTGAATATTATGAAATATAGCTCCCTACCCATATATCTGTTACATCGATATTAGATATCGATGAGTATTTAGTCGAGTGGAGCTATGAATATAGCATTAGGCTTAAACTAATCGTAAAGTGAGTGCGTTCGAAAACGAACGTTATGACCGCACTTGTAGCAGTGTCAATCAATACTTTGTATACGTGGCATTAATCTAGAGCCATGTAGAAGACAGGGGCATTGCACACCTCATGCGGAACTTTGAACGCAGCGATAAACAAGTTATATCAATGGTGGTCACTTGACAAGTATATTATATAACGAATAAAAATAAATTATAACTACATTGACAGGTATGTCAAACATGTTCCTCGCTTTCACGGACGTTTCAGAGCTCGTTTCGTCGGGTCGTAATTTCCTACTGCGCGCCGTCAGAATAGAAGGTAAACAGTGGCAGGTCAAAAAGGCGAGCCTATCAAATCATCTTATTCTCAAACCGATCCTCTCCCTTCAGCGTAAGAAACACAACCGATGGTGCAGCCAGCCTATCGTACGACTATGAATCACAGACAAAGTCTACAGATGTTGTTTGATTAAGTAGACATCGTCTGGATAGCTGCGAGGCCAGAATTCGCTTAACAGAGTCGATTTCGTCTTTAGTACGAACGAAGAAGCTGCATCGAAACAGGAACTAAGTTAGCTTACTCATATCGTCCGAGCCAGCCAAAGTCTTAATGTAATAAATCGAAATCTTTAACTATATATACTATTTACACCCGTATTTCAATTAGTCGGACCATATCTCTGCCGACTAAAAATAAAAAGTCACAGTAATGGTAGTAATAACAACACCTTCTTCATGAAACGTAACGTGGGTCCTTGGCAAATCTGAGATTCAGAACTATCCTCGTAGACTTTCTGCAACTGAAATGACCCTTGCGGTTCTTTTTGCTGAGGTGTGCCTGACCGTTTTTTCTTTTTCCGCATCTCATACTCCTTTTCCTTGCGACGCACAGATGCCTTTTGGAATCGATCTACGAGAAGGTCAATCTCTTGCCTGGAATCATAGCCTGAAAAGTAATCAAACGCATTTATCATGCGTGTGGTTAGTTAGGTTAGTAATAATAGGTAACAGTCAGGTAATAATAATGATGTAGTAATTAGTTATTCTACCCTCAATATTGCTACTCGTTGCTATGGTTTAAGAACATTCTGTAGAGTTCACTAGGTAGTAAAACTTGCTAGGCCCAAATAATTAATTTTTCGTTTCTATTTTCGGATGTTTCTTTGCTAGGATAAAGGGACTAGTTCAGCCTATATCGAGCGGAAGGGATCCGCTGCCTAACAAAAAAACCTCATCACTTCTCAGGCAGTACACATTGCCAATTTTTTTACAGCTGTCAATGCGCACTAATTACCGCAGCGCATTTCTATAATAACTGTTACATATAGTGATAGACAACTTAGCCGCTAGCTATTTCAACAATAAAATTTTTAGGACCTTAACATATAGATTGTAATGAGAAGTTTGGTCCGAAAAGTCTCACTAGGATGGTGTTCTTTCGGGTTTAAAAGTATTTGATATTGGGGCCCGAGGTTGAATTACAACGATATATGTCATTCTTGCCACGTCGATGCTGCTTCGTAGTCGATATCATTGTTAACACTCAGAAACGGAACAGATAATGTACATCTATCGTTGTATACCGTACCGATATCATACGTCTTTACGGGGCCAGCGTACGCACGCACATACAAAACATAGAAAAAAAACCGTTGCCGCTCTAGTACAGCTCAAGGATGTGGGCACATTTGTTTCTGATTTATCACTAAGGAAATTTAATTTTGTTTTGATTAGCAAAATGTAAACTTCAAAGCTCTAGATATAATCTGGCTCAGAAGCCCATAAAGCTTCCTGTCGTAGGGTATACCAAAACATCATACGAATATATAGCTGCGCAGTGTTTTTTATACGAACATGAATCGATACGCGCGCCGGCGCTGCGCAGACGCACTAGGGTTTATACTGCAGTTACTACGCCGACTCGTTCAAAGTATATCCTTGTTCTGCAATCCAAAGTTATTATATATAGAGCTAGCTTTCTGTGAACTTCATCTTACCAGTTTCCGTTGTAACTCTCAGTGCCGACTCGTGGTAGCACAATGGTGTACTTATGCGTGAAAACATTTAACTTACTTAACTTTCACCTTTTTCTATTAAGCTGAATATCGGGGGCAGTTTTTTTTGAGCTGCTTTTTGCAAGGCAAGTAGTAGCGGAATCCTCTTGATGTTGCGGTCAGCAGTAGTCTGCTTTCATCAGATCGCACTATTTGTACAGAGGACGCACACATGTACTGCTGACACTCAGATGTCTCCAAATGCTACAGGTTGCTTACGAGACGTAAGAGTGCCCCGACAAACCAGGTGCAATGGGCTTAAGGAACTCTCCACATTCTGTCAAGCTAACCTGGCGTGATGTAGATCATTGGCAAGCCAAGGACGTCTGAACGGTTACTACAACAGCTGCGAAAGAAAAAGAGGCAGTAGCGACTCAAGCGAGAAGAAGGCCATCCTAGCGTTACAGCGTACAGACAGTTCTAGAGTCTTTTGATGTACCACAACTATTTGAGGCGGTGCGTGTTGCTTTCTGCCACTCACTACGAGCATCTATCATGTATAATAACGGTGTGATAGACACGCAATTAAATCGCCAGAAATACTTCAGGAGCTATTACTGGTTAATCTACTCCTTGCTAAAGCCTACCAGAGCATTTACACGATGAGTTATAGCTGTCTTTTCCCTTGAGATAACGACAAACCCAGATTTCTAAAGGGGCATCTGCAGTAGAGGCGCGATACTAGAAAAAATCAGACAAGATACCGGCCAAGAGACGAGCTGTGGGTCCCACGGTGCATACAGACAATGAAAACAAGGAGAGAGGAACAACCTCAGAACAATATCATCAAACAGATTTTCAGCTCACTGCTTCTGACCTTGCTAACCTAGACATCTGCAACACAGATCTAACGATATTACGATCGGGTCGAATAGATCGTAAATATGTGCGCCAGTTCCCAATATCTAAGAATCATGAAAAGATGCTATTTGAGTCGTTATTAACCGAGCTTAGCCTAGTCAAATAGATGCAAAAAACTAGTCTTAGGCGAATCTTCATAGGTGACCGAAAAGGCGAACAACGACACAGGCAGATGTCAAAGTGAGTGACCGGGAAAATTGTGCCGCATCGTCGTTGACTGATGAATGGCAAGGGGCATGTCGGGCACATAATGTGTTTTAATTTCGCGTCAACGCATTATTCTCACAGGAGTGTCACTCATATCACGTTTTTAGCGGAAGATTTTCTCTATAGAACAGCAAATGCAGATCTACCAGGCCATAGATGCCAAAACTAACTACTCCTTGAAAGATTCTCTTTTAGGTAGTTAGCGGTAATAATCGATACTACACAACATTGCAGTCTTTATAATTAATAGATTAAAAAATCTATTCATATCTTTAGTTATCTATTGTTTACTGGGACTGATAACGCATTTCTCGTATTTAGTTTTGAATTTAGAGTTTTCCAGCAAGTCTGAGAAAATATGGGTAAATACGGTCTAAGCACATTCTATCTTCAACGGATTGTTTTATGCCCTTCAGACTATGTAGCATGTGCTAAAGGAAGTCCAGTCGTGATCCGGCCTTCTATTTCTTTGAATAACTTTACTCAAACAACTTTAGTAAGTTTGATTGCATGCAGTGAGTTGTCAGGCCTATCAGGTTAGCGATCTGAGGTTGCCTGTGCGACGAAACGGCAGTTTCGAGAAGCAGTTGACCACGAGTAGATAGAGAAGCAGTTTTATTCTGGTGCCAAAAACAATCTATTAGATAGCTTTTACGATTTTTCCTCTAAGGATTTAGTAATACTAGATACTCTATCTGACACCCTACAATAAAAAATCGATTTTTCGAATTGTTATCGCTTGGATTGAAGTTTCCGCCTCTTTCCGATGGACGGCCTGATTGTTTGTGCAAGATTTGGAAGATCATATCTTGCAATTGCCCTTAAAATGTCATTATTATTTTTGGTTGAACTATTAGAAATATTGAGATATCCTTAATGTTCTAATCTGGTAAATGATCGTCATAAATCAGTACTATCAGTAGTGCTGGCAAGGATTGATGAGCGGACTACTATCATTTGTTACAAACAGTTCATTGAGCACTAAGGCCATTATTGAAATTTTTTCTTTCTACAATGTATCATTATAATTCTGCTGAAGCCTTGTTACAAGATAACATCTGTGTAACTAAATGAAGAGCCATGAACCGAACCATACAAATATTGTCCCTTAAAGGCTCGTGGTTAACAGTTTGAGGCATTTTCTAGATATGACAAGCTAACAAGGCACATTGTCAACGAGTGACCAACAAATGTTACATGATAATAGTAATGCAACCATTTTTATGCGAAATTTACAAGTGTTACATAGCTTTACTTTCATAGTATTTAGGGCCCATTGCGCAAACAATACAATGTTTTTATGCTTATTCACAGAGGGCGTTGTAGCTGTATAGCTACAACGCCCTCTGTGAAGACAGAGACAATGAGCTGTTTGTGCCATTAAATGTCGACATGTGTGACGAGGCTACCGTGAAAGTGCAATTACTTTATATAGACAAAAATTAAATAAATCTTTTTTCTTATTATAAATGTAGTTCTCTTTCTGATTTCATAGTGAAGTATCGCAAATAGGTGAGATAGCAATAATTTATGCACTTATAATGTATTCTATTATAATGCTAATTTTAAATTTCAAGGAAAACCATTTTTTCACTGGATATAGAGCGGTTGTCCTGTAAGCCTCTCTACCTATAAAATAGAGTTTTTTTTTGTTACCTAATACAAGCATTAGTCTAAGGTCAAAGCAGCGCGCCACCATTTTTAATATCACAAGTGTTCCCGACGCGTTAAATTCTCGTAAAGCGTTGAATCACCTTTGCGACACTGACTTACAACTGTTGCAAATTGCGGCCCATGCCAATAGGAAAATTTCTTATTCTCCCACATGTAATGGACCCGTATATCTGTAACACAAAAGAATCATTAGCATGCATTTCGAACAACAGGGGTTGTTATCATCCATATCTTTTTTTGCCTAGAGAAACCTCAAGAAGGACTTCACTGAGAGATTCCTTTGAAGTCCCGATTCTCAATACGCATTTAAACTATATCTCCGTGCTTTATTAAGAAAAACAGATCTGAGGGAAAGAACGAGTTCGAAAAGCTACGATAACGTTAGGTAGGTTTTTTACAGGTGAAGCCAAATCTAATTTTTTCAACATCGTAGCCTTTTCAAATTAAAACTTCCCTTTGTTGTACGAGAATAGTTATATGTAAAGGCCTCATTCAACCGTTTTAAGTGGTTATTATTTAGAACAGCTCATATGAAACCGAAAAAACTTCGTGAGGGATTTGGACCTGTCTCTTTGTGGTCTATATATATATATATATATATATATATATATATATATATATATATATTGATGTTACAGTTTGATAATCGTTAATACTTTTGCTTTAATTAATGCTAGGCAAAGTACAGATTTCGTATATGAACGTAGCTGTACAACAATAACATCTTAAGTTGTGTAACCGGCTTAGTGCCAATTACGAGTAACCTTGGATTGACAAGTTACACAGACTCGTTATGCTGTTAATAAACTATTGAGGAGGTATTGTGATTATGGCTTTCCTCACTCCTTAAACCCGTCGTCTAAAAATATGACCTAGTTTTAGTAACACTAGTAGTTTTAGAAAACGAACAACCAGTTTTAGTACATTGGGTAAACACTGCTTATTTATTTGCTGCCAAAGTTACTCAGTGCTTCCCAAGTAAATGTTTATATTTTCACATTTTATAAACCCCGCTTAAGTTAAAAACTGACGTAAATTTTTCTATCCGAATGATTAAGAATTCATCACGGCACCGCCTGTCTACATCAATAAAATTTCAATTCAAATTAAATGCATCTTAGGTTGGGAAAATGAAATCTATTCACCCATATTTCTAAAAACGTTTTTTTGAAATTACACCTACATTTTTGATGTACGCCAACCTGCATTTATCTAATGCAATATAAGTTTTCAATTATTTTAAGCGGATTGCTCAGCAAGCTTTGTCAGTTACCATTGTATATTTTGCAATGAACTGTTCATAAAAATGTTCTTTGAGTACATTTGAACGGAAACGTTGTCAACGATTACCTCGATAGTAGAAGTTGTTCCTTGTTGCGTTGTGAAGTAGCATCTTCAAAGTCGATGTCTTCAACAGACTGTTCCAAATACCCATTCGTTTAATCTAGTCAGCTTATAGTCACTGTCATGTTATTATTTCTACAGAACTTGGATTCGAGTTGAGCCAGTTGTCTATTTTTGTTTTCAATCAGTGCTTAAAGTTGGGCGCTGTACGTTTATAGGCGTGTTCGAGCACGCATAGGATACAATCAGACACAAGTTACTTTGGTGGTCGATTATCTTCCGATATTCCCAGCTCTCCTTTAACAAACAGTTATACGATGAAGACGGCACAGCGCGCTGCAGCCATATCTAGAGCAAAGGCTTCCGACGCTTCTCAGAAGCAGCAGTAGCAAAATCGAAAGTCTACCGTCCACACACGTAATATGAAGCTGCAAAGGACTGCTTCAAATGGTAATATCCTAGTACATGTTTTCAGTAGATAAAAGATCATCTTGTTGATTCGTCGTTTATCAATTCATTGGTTCGACGTACTCGCGCATTGTTAAAGACGGAAGTGTGTGAGTAAAAAAGGTCTTAACAAATGACGGGCGAGCAACAGGAGTGGTCAGTTGGAAGTCTGCCGATAGACTATAACCTATAGATCGGCCAAGATGCCGGTTCGTTCTCAGCAACCAAAGGTGGGAAAGGGCATTGGTTAAAGGACGCAGGCCAGTGAGATGACTACGTTATAATTGACAGATAAATAAAAATCAAACCGAGGCCTGAATATCGCCTGGAGGCCATTGCCATTTGTTGTCGGCGATTCAACCTGTCGAACCCCGCTTGAGAGCTACTGCGCTTCAGACAACACCGATCATCGCTTGCGTCGGCGCGACAATGTACGTACACGTACACGTACACGTATTCAAATAAACATGAAATTGTATTTACATCGTAAACATTTCAGTTATAACCGCATTCATAACCATGATAGGACTGAACGACGCCGTTGGCTACAGTAGACAAGAAACAACCGATTACCATTGACATGGAACCGAACGAGTGAGTGGATAAAAATACCATCGTTATCGACGGCGTTATACTATACAACCTGTGGTAATAAAGAAGGTTATTCTACTTATGCTAAGGGGTCGTCGCAGCGATGGCCAATTCGCATCGCTGTTGTAAAAGTGGCTTGCGGCAATTTTGCTGAGATGTGCCGAAACTAAAAGGAAGTTACTACATACTATATACTTTCAAAGAGTACATGAAAATTGAGATTCGACGTTATACAAACAGGTGTATTTGGCGTTCTTGCTGCAAAATCTGATGTGGGCAAACCGATCTGTTCTGAAAGACAGAATGTTATTTCTTTTCGGAAAGACAGAGATGTTTTTGCTGACGCTGAGTGGAAACTGGTGGTGATTATTAGGGTTCGACCAATCCAACCCACAAAATTACTAACGTGCATACGGAGACCCTCTTTCGTCGGGTTCCTCTAAGTGGACACCTGCGGTAAAGGGCATGGCTATATAGTCTGTGTGGCTGTAGTATCAGTGCATAGTGCGGGGCTCGACTGCATTGCAGTATTCACTAGCTGCTGGGTACGAGACGCCGCAACGGAACACGTCTTCAAAAATTGTCGAAACATAGACATGCAGATTGCGAACTCTAGACGAACCGACAGTAATTGTTTAGGCTTAAAAACTGCTTTTCATTCTTCTTTGTTTCGTTGGCCTGATTCGTGCCTAAGCAAAATACCAAACTGCTCAGCCTGCTGCTACTAATAACAACAAATATTTAAGTAACCTGCTTAATCTCTCGGCCTACACGACCCACGCACAAGGACCAAACGCATTTCTGCTTTTATGAGCTTACGCGCATACACAGATACGCGTGTATGTGTATATATATAATATGTGAAATATATTTCCCAGAGATAGGGGTTCCCGAGTAAAAATGCGTAGAGAAAAATAACCACATTGATTAGCCTATTTTCGTATTTTTAAGCTATTGATGCCCAATTCGGTGCTTAGTCTATGTTCTTTCGAGTTTTCCCGTAATTGTTACGGTGAGTCGCTGCTAATATCTTGATGGACCAAGGCGTCGAGTACTGCTTAAATTAAGGAACGCTAAAAGTGAAACATTTCACACTACTGCAACAGCACATGTGAAATCAATCTTCATTCTAACACGTATTTAGCAAATGTAACCAAACCATTTTCAAAGCGGACTAACAAATTATCGGTATTTAAAGTAAAGAGAGTACGCCATAGACAATGTTAACTGAGTTCGAATGGTAACCCGCACACTATCAGCCATCTTAAGTGTCGCTAAGTTAAAGGGGAACTGCTCTAGACAAAACATCCAGATGTGTTTATTTATATAAAAAGAATCTGTTTTTGCAACAGATCAAATATATTTGTCAATAGATTGTTAAAGGGCAATCAGCAGGATCTTGATTTTGCATTTGTATCTCAATCTGCAAAATATAAAGCTGCAGGAAACAAGCATTTCGGAAGGTAACCAACCGAAAACACAAAACAAATACATGCGATTATTAGAACGTACTTCCCTATCCAGTAGCTATTACGTTAAGACTACACAAAAACAAATCGTTGAAAATCATGCTATATAAATGATAGTGAAGACTCGAAATGTTTTTTCGGAAGTACCTTTATTAGTTTTTACATGAACAGTTGGTTTACGATGAACGCGCTATCGACATTTCAACAGTTGCCATGAAAATCTAATTTAAAACGTTATTACAGTCAATATAATAACACGACGAAATACAATAAGCTTGAAGATGCACATCGAAGATTCCTTAAGCTAGAGAAATCTCAATATATAGGTGTTCTAACAGGGTATTGCCTAATAGACGCAAGTTATACGCAAATACTGTTGTTTACGCAAATACTTCTGCTCTAGCCCCGCCGGGGGCTTTTGTCTACGTAGAGTATTACCTTGGTTGATCTGTTGGGCTTGATTCATGATTGTCGTTTGACACTAAACTTGATGCCACGCTGATCCAAACGGTTTCGGAGCGTTGTTTTCTCAAATGCATAGCCGGGAGAAATACAGCCACCACTGGAAAACGAAGAAGTCAGAAATTCCCAATCAAACTTTAGGAAACGATTAACTCTAGTCGTAATTGTAAAGCTGATATATCAAACCAATTTATATCAGGTAATTTCAAGTTAGGAAAGGTGAGGAAGTCTCAAAGCCAATAGAAAACGTAGCTAGCTTAAAACTACCGCATTGAAACAGGTGATGGTAGGGCAAGTTGCGTTTACGCTCGATCATAGCTAAATAATCGAAAGACAAAAAACAGACTATGGAACAGTAACAACTGGTGAATTTTGTAGTACTTGGGTGACGCTTCTACAAAACAGGGTTCAACTTTACATCCTTTTTATAAAAGCGGTTCAAGCATGCGTCTTTATGAATCCAAGAACACGATCCAGCTGTGACCGAGTCTGATAACGTATAAAGGATATCTTGCATAGGATACAATAAATGGTTAACTTACCCTAACGGCATGGATATATTGTCTTTCAAAATGCAAACCGCGCTTTGAACAAGCATGATCGAAGTGGCTATATAGCCTGGATCCATGCTATCCACCTCGACAACAATTTCTTTCGTTGGCGGCAAGGTTTCATCGTCATCTGTGTGCCAACCTTTGCCAAGCGCTGAAACAAAGTGCTTCGGTCACGAGAGGCGTATTTGACAGCCAAGATGCTTTTTGTACGCTAAGCGTTTACTTATTTGTTGAATCGAGCCCACGTGTATTCAAGAGCGGAGGTAACATAAATCAATTTACGTTGCTACACAAATCTCGAATACTGTTAGTAAATTTCTTTCTTAACTAAAGAATCTATTCATCCGATAAGTTGATGAGGCTGAACGATACCCATGATAGCGCACGGTAGCATACGTATTTCATTGAACACTCGGTAACAGATATCCCCACAATAATTAGAAATGGACCTTCGTTTATAAGATGTTATTCGTGTTTGTGTTTACTCTGTTCCATATTTCGTG